GGGGGTGTGTTAGAACGAGCCGTTTTAGGAGGGCGTGGTTGACTCTTAACTTTTATAAAGAATATCTCTTTGGATTTGAGACTTTAGTCTTTGCAACTTTACAGATCTTCTTTATGCACCAAGAGCTTGTAACACTCCAAAGAGAAAGGAAAAATTGAAATCGCATCATATGACCCCTTTAACAACAGCAAAGCCCTATTAACCACCCAGAATAAAATCAGTTGACCATTAAGAGCTAGTACAATCTAATTAGCACACAGACATATTTCATTCCATTGTTTTGCTTCTTCACAAAAGGCTGTGTTGCAAAAGAATGTGTTTATAAGGAGCTTAAAGTGCATTTTCGGTGTTTTCTGCTGACTTCAGTGCTGTGCGTGCAGCAAACATTTGTTTGTTTTGTGTTTGTGTGTGCATGGCTGTGTCTTGCATTATCAAGCCAGAATTGCCTTCGCAATGTAGCAGTTTTTTCTATGTTATTAGTAGAGATCGACCGATATATCGATTTACCGATATTTTTCCCGATATTTAAGCATTTTACCATACTCTGAGATCTGTTTTGTAATATCAGATTCACCGATAAACGCCGCCATCTTGTGGGTGTTTTGAGAATTGCGCGCAGGATCGCCATTGCAGCGCGTCTGAGGGGAGACGAGACAACAGCAACGGCATGGTGCAGGTACTTGATTTGCTGTAGTTAGTAAACTTTATTTAACATAACAGCCATTTATGCACAAATTAGATGCATTATATAAATGCCTGATATGTAGTTTATGCAGCTTGGCTCTAAGAAATAGAGACCAACTCACGGAGTCACGTAAGATAATCCGTCAAGTCCTGTCCCAATAAAGACGTAACTTTGCCTGAATTAAATAATATGCAGCCATGAATGAGCGCATGTTGGAAATAAAAGCGCTGAATTTAATTCTCTCTCTGTTGTATATTTGCTCATCATTAGTCTCGTGAAGCCGCTTTCATATTGCTGTTCACTCACCGGGTTGATGCTCAGGAAATGCTCCAGCACGGCATTCTACATTTATTTTGCTTATTGTTAATATTAGTGTTGTTGCTGTTGATGCTTTTTATAAATAAAATGTTTTTTTGTTGTAATATGAAGATTAAATTTAACATGAAAGACTGCTAATTTTCAACACTTTAAAAAAAAAAATGACTGAAAAGAGGAAAAACCAAAGTTGAAGTTCTTACTTCACTCAGTCATTTATTTACTTTATAACGGTAAATAAATATCGGTTCTGCATATCGGTTATCGGACACATAAACATGCAAATAATTGGTATTGCATCGGTTATAAAAAAAATCAATATCAGTCGATCACTAATCAGCAGTCATATAGCACTAATAGAAGCCTTGGCCTTATTGTGGGCCCTACAGCACTTTGAAGTATGGATCGCCATTGCAGCGCGTCTGAGGGGAGACGAGACAACAGCAACGGCATGGTGCAGGTACTTGATTTGCTGTAGTTAGTAAACTTTATTTAACATAACAGCCATTTATGCACAAATTAGATGCATTACATAAATGCCTAATATGTAGTTTATGCAGCTTGGCTCTAAGAAGTAGAGACCAACTCACGGAGTCATGTAAAATAATCCGTCAAGTCCTGTCCCAATAAAGACGTAACTTTGCCTGAATTAAATAATATGCAGCCATGAATGAGCGCATGTTGGAAATAAAAGCGCTGAATTTAATTCTCTCTCTGTTGTCTATGCTCATCATTAGTCTCATGAAGTCGGAGTCACGTAGATAATCCGTCAAGAACACTTTAAAAAAAAAAATGACTGAAAAGAGGAAAAACCAAAGTTGAAGTTCTTACTTCACTCAGTCATTTATTTACTTTATAACGGTAAATAAATATCGGTTCTGCATATCGGTTATCGGACACATAAACATGCAAATAATTGGTATCGTATCGGTTATAAAAAAATCAATGTCGGTCGATCACTAGTTATTAGGACATGCTAACTGTCCCTGCAATTCAGTAGACTAAATAAATATACTGAGCAATGTTATTGAAATGTAAAAATGCAAAAAGTCATATGTGAGCTATAGGCTTAGGAGTTTATTCTGAGTTAGGGAATAGAAATAGTCTCAGAATAATACCATTACGCTTGTGTGTGTGTGTGCGCGTGCGTGTGTGTGTGCGCTTGTGTGTGTTTGTGTATTGAGGGCAGGTTTTGCCTGCAGTTATTTTGCCTCTGAATCAGCCTGCTGGTGCTGAAACTGATACTAAAACACACTCACACACAAACAATAGCCAGTGTATTGTAAGTTCTTTCCATCTCTTTGTACTGTATCTGCACTGGCTAAAAGCAAAACGAGTGTGCATGAGAATCACACTGAGGTTGTCTTTGATGCTTGCTGCTGTTTCAATCACAATTTAGCTGTTATGGATTTTTCCATAAGTTTATCATCTAAATAGAGACTCTTACTGGCATTTTCTATAGAAGATCTGGACACATTTTTCAGTCTGGGATGGAGTGACTGATGTCTGTCGTTAGTGCTGGATGATATTAATGAGCTCTTAATGGATCAGATTCACTCATCTTTCTGACTGAATTCAGTTTTTTACTCTGTAAACGTGTGTAAATGCACAAGCTCCATTAAAACCATCATCATGCACGATTCAGAGCAGATAAAGAGAGAGGCAGTCTATGAATAATACAGGCCGGTTTGAGGAACACATGTTCTCTGGCCATGTGCAAATGTAAAAGTGCTTTAGAGATGACAGCTAAACATCATCAAACATCTGTATCTCTCTCTCTCTCTCTCTCTCTCTGTGTGTGTGTTCAGAATGGTATAATAACTATAGTATAATAAACTATTCTTGAAAGTATAATTCAGTGTTTATTAGAGCTGCACGAATTAGGGGGAAAAATTTAATTGTGACTGTTCTAAAAAAAAAAAAATCGAGATTGTGACTTTCAGTTAATGTTTATTTTATTTCAAGTTTTTTTTTTCTGGATTTAGTTTTAGTTAACTATAATAACCCTAGTTTGTCAGTAGAGGATGATCTTAAAATGGTGATGCTATTACTGATAATTGAAAATAAATTTGTAGAAATATCAGAATTAAATTTGCCTTGCATATTCATAACTGTAAATCTGTCATGCTGGTTATCTTTCCGAAGGCATAATCATGTGCCAATATGTTTCATTTAGTTTGAGACTGCACAATGCAGTTGATTAACACATAAAATTTTGCAGAAAGTTAGTATCAGAGAGTATGAGAGTGTAAGGATGGCATTGACCCGTATGTGGCTCTGAACATAACCTCTGACTCCTCGCTCTAGTTTCTCAGTGAGGTGGGTGTTAATTGTAGGGTCCGCTTTGATGGCAGTAATTAGCCGTTGATCAGACCTTTAGTCCTCTAACGACTACAGACTCTTGGCAGGAGGTTGAGTGCGAGTGTGTGATTATTTTTAGCGCTCACGCGCACACACCTCAAGACATTGTTCCTCTGAGATTCTCATCAGTGAAAGGGTGAACTAATAGTTCTGTGAGGAAGAGTTTCACCCACATATCTTCATCATCCCCGTGTCCACAGATTCCTGGTGGGAGGAGATCTGAGAACATGCTGTCCGATGGAAAGAAAAAGAAAAGAACAAATTACACTTTTATAGCCGCCTGCCACCATCACCACAATTACTGGTCGTTCAGAGAGAGAGAGAGAGAGAGAGAGAGAGAGAGCGTTGGGTTTACATGTGTAGAAGAGTGTGGGCAATCACTAAAATAAACTCTGGAAATGATTTTTCAAATGAATATTTCTTCTAAATGTCATGCGATATGGAAACGTTATTATGTATGATAGTCACAGGTTGTTTGAATGGTTCCTGTCAAGTGCAGACTGACTGAACTCACAGAAGGACAAACAGCAGCTTTGGGTTTATGTTCAGACATTCTGTTGATCATATTAATGGTGCTTATCCAGCACATCATTGGTATTTTACTTCTTTTTTTTTTTTTATTGAAATACTTTAATTTATTAGAAAATTGCAACAAAGTTTGTTTTTATTTTGTATTTATATTTATTTACATAAATGACAATTCACAATTTTTAAAAATGAAATAAATAAATAAATAAATGTGTTGTTTATTGTTGCAATTTTAAATTTATTGAAATAAAAATGTAAAGCCTGTACAAATATTAGAAATTGTGGATATAAATAGCCTAATTGGGAATCATGTAAAGAATTAAAATAAAATAAAATCAGTGCGAATTTCATTTATCTATTATATCATTTATGTAGTTTTGTTCGCTTGGCTGTTTCCTTATAAAAGTCCAGAAAGTGGTCAAGTTTTTCATCAGGTGTCTTTTTAAATTATATGATGTCATTACGCTGCTGTCCTGCCGCCAGCCAGTCGCTGCATTGCTGATTGTGGTTTCCAGTATCGATACATAGCCCCCTTAAACCAACCAATGAATGCGCAATTATCTCAGATAACTCAATCCAGCCATACTAATCATCAACAACAGGTGCGTTCAAAGAACCGAATTAGCCAGATCCTGAGTAGCGCGATTATATCATCTTGGATGTGACATTTCATCTCGGATGTAATAAGCGACGTACGAAGAACGGGCCCCAGGTGTGTGTGTGTGTGTGTCAGAAAATCTGGCAAACTGAAGATTTCGTGACCTCTATTCATTCTCTCTCTCTCTCTCTCTCTCTCTCTCTCAAGAACCGAATTAGCCAGATCCTGAGTAGCGCGATTATATCATCTTGGATGTGACATTTCATCTCGGATGTAATAAGCGACGTACGAAGAACGGGCCCCAGGTGTGTGTGTGTGTGTGTCAGAAAATCTGGCAAACTGAAGATTTCGTGACCTCTAGTCATTCTCTCTCTCTCTCTCTCTCTCTCTCTCTCTCTCTCTCTTTGGTGATCTAGACCCTCTGCAGAGTGTTTTGACTGGCTCCATGCCTCATCCTGTGTGTGTGTGTGTGTGTGTGTGTGTGTGTGTGTGTGTGTGCTTGTTTATGTGGTTTATGAGGACACAAATTTGTATAATGACATGGGTATGACATAGGTATTACAAGGAGAAGGTGACTTTTCAGGACATTACCCCATGTCCCCACTTTTCAAAACGCATATAAATAACACAGAATGGAGTGTATTGAAAATCTGAAATAGCACAAAGTTTCCTGTAAGGGGTAGGTTTAGGTGTAGGGTTGGTGTAGGGCAATAGCACATACAGTTTGTACAGTATAAAAACCATTATGCCTATGGGATGTCCCCACTTTTCACAAAAACAAACCTGTGTGTGAAGGGCAGTGCATGCTGGGATTGATTGTAATCTATATTTTTGTTGCTGCTGTAAACGGTCTCATCTCCACTCGTTTGTTCGATGGATTCTCCTTCACAATGTGTGTTTATTCCTTCTTTTTCCTCTGTTATTCTATCCGTCTTTCTCTCCATTGACATTTTCTGCATTTTCTGTCTTTGTTTGTTTGTTTGTTTGTTTGTTTATTTCTCTATCTAACCTAGATTGTAATCAATTTAATCAATTGATATAATTGACATTTTTCTATACTTTATATTTTACATGTCAGTGAAATGCAGCTCATCTTTCAGTCAATGTGGAGTTTGGTCGTCATTTCTCTTCATTATTTCTTTCTTTCTCTTTGTTTTTGTTTGTCTTCTGCTGCTCGTTCTTACTGTGTTCATGCATTCTTTCAGCTTGTTCATTGTTTTTAGTCGTTGATTAGTTTATTCTTTCCTTATTTTGCCCTTTCTCTGTCTCTCTTTCTCTCTGTTGTTGTTGTTGTATGTCTCTTCCTCTCTGTTGAATCATATCAGCTGTGGTCTTGATTCCCAAAGACACAGAGTATTTCAGTCTTAATTGTGCACACTGGGCCCAC